TGATATTCTTATCATTATCGCCACCACCCACATTACATTCCTGTCATTTTTATCATCGTCATCGCCAGCATCACTTCCATTATCACCACAGAACTGTGATTGCTGGACACACAATAAATTGATGCATGAATGCGTGACAATTGCACTGCGGTGTTGCTCCGTTTCGAGTGATCAAGAATGTACACAAGATCTGATTGATCACATATCAGAAATCTGAATCAAAGTGTGAAATTACTGAAAAGAGAAATCGATCATTTGAGTCGGTCAGTTTCTTCACTCTTTACCCTTTTCTCTTACCCCCCAAATGATAATGGGATGCAATGAATATTTCGGAATGAATCGACCTAATCAACGTGACGACCGACCAATCAAACCGTCAGCCAGCAACATTTCGGTGTGTCATAAATTAAGTACTCCTTTCCGAATACAATAATGATAAAAGAATTCCAAAGAAAAACGCATTATCGATGTTTAAACGTCCAAACACACACACAAATGCGCCGCAACACAAAACATCATGAAATGAAACGGAATAGAAATTTCAAACAAACAAGTTCTATTAAATCGCTAGTGGATTGATTGTTCATACACCTCTACAATACTCTTCATTATTATCTTCAGTACTACTGGTCTTATTAATACCATTATCATCAGCACTATTATGCTTATCAACATTCTTATCACCAGTACTGTTCACAATATTACTGTCACTGTAAAATAAACATTATTATCAATTTCTGGTCGTCTACAAAAAACAGTTATTAGCAGTACTAAATTGGAGTCATTGTTATCATTTAGTGCTGATTGACCCTAACATATTTAACCCCAACCCCACGGCAATGAATGCATCTATCAGATCCACATCAGCCGATTGCTGTGTAGTAAGCGATTGTGATCCATGATCAAGCATACCATTACAACTTGAAACGAATGATTGAAATCGCCATTGTGATCACCATTATTACTCCTCTTATTATCACACACACACACATCATCATCATCTTATCGCTGTTTTTATTATCATTGTTATCATACATTTTGTCAGTCCGTGATTATATGTGTATGTCGGTTTAAATTTAAACTAGAATTAGACCGGAAACACACTTCACGCTTATGATTTATTTCTCTAGCTCACGTTGGCATGATCGAAGCCACCAGTCAGTAGTCAGTCACGTAGTCTTGGCATTCTTCACAATCAGATCAACGCGATAGATCACTTGGAGACGTGCATAGCTCGATGAAATGATGTGCTCAAGATGATCTTAATGAAATGTTTCAATTTCAGGTGAAGGTGAATCATTTGAAGAGAATAAAGTTTTTCTTAAGGATTCCGCCTAAATGACCGAACAAAATGATGGTGTGAACAGGCTGTTGCTGGTCGC